CGATGTGGTGCCGCAGATCATTGACCACCAAATGGATCACTTGAAGACAGTCATCGGCAGTCATACCCACAAGTATTTGACGCAAACCCTGAAGTCGTTTAATGTGTCCAAACTGTTGGATCGGATGACCGACAAGACTATGTTTGCATGAATTGTGGCTTATATTTGATTATTAGTATATACAGTACATGTATTATTAATCTAAATACAGTCTGTATAACTCAGGTTAAATTGCATGTTAAGTTTATTATTAAATAAAATCTTTCTATATTGTAGTGATAATAAAATAAAGTCTTTGTGTTGACTACTAACAAAATATAATTTATTTAAACATATCAGGAGATGTGTAATACAGAAGTGAGTCTCGATTGTGAGACACAGACTATTATATAATATGTATTAGTATTACAATAATGACTGTAAGGATATGCAAACAGTCCTTGTATTTAGTTCTCAATTACATTATAAACTTTTCATAACTTTTGGTATACAAAATCATTTGATTTAAACTTCAAACTTATAAACATTATGTTATGAAACATTATGTAATTAAATAGATACTGCAATATTTTATATCGATTTTGCCATTTATTTTTATAGTTGGTTACAAACTGTAAATAAATTTTTTTGAATAAATAACAAGTTTATTATAATATATAATTAGATTTACATTGGGCAAGGGCGCTCGCTGCTTTTAATTTGAGCATGATACTTTTTTTATTTATCAAAATCACTATTGTCATAAAAACTAATTTTAAGGTTTTACTTAAGAAATAAGTTTTCAACAAACTTTTTATTATGAATAGTTCATTAATATTCTACAGTTTATAACAATTGTATACCAAATGCCTGTTTACTTGTTTATGTGATTTACGGTATCGAAAGGTAAACGTTATGTATCGTACGCTATACGTATGAATTGCTATATAATTGTTACTATGATTAACAACATTGCAACCGATTGTAGGCAACAGTTTGTATGTTATATTATATAAACCTTAACGATATTCATTTCATACATATTCACAGTCTATTAACATAGCTGTGAATATAAATGTTTTTTATTTACAAATTAATCGAAATTTAATAAATATATTCTTTATATTTATTTAAATCATTAAAACTTTTACATCATTTCTACACAATTTTTAATATATTGTAGTTTAATAATTATTAAATTAATAAAATATGAAAGATCTGACAGAAATGCCAACAATTGAGCCAGTAACCGAGAATAGCCTGTCCATATATAACACGCTATTTGACACCCTGGCCACTATTGACTCGGGATGTTTTGGGACGGTATATAAAGTCAAACACAAATTGGATGATGAGTTATATGCCGTCAAATGCGTCCAATTAAACGGTAAATAATATATAATTTCTATAAATATTTGTCATAATTATAGCATTAATTGAGTAAATATTATAAACATTTTTGTCTACAAAATATTTTCAGAGGATTTCAATACTGAATATCTGGAGGAAATCAAAAACCTGGCAAAAGTGCGCTCGGAATACGTGGTCCAGTACTACAACTCGTGGACTACCGGCGTCGACCTATACATACAAATGGAGTTATGCTCGGGTACTCTACGGCATATACTGGACGCCAAACCTCAGGCCTTTAGCCGAAAGGAGGGCCAACCCCTCAAAACCGTTGAGTACTTCATATCGAGTGAAATGTTTAGAGAGCTCTTGGAGTGCGTCCAGTATTTACATGGATTACAGCCACCCGTCCATCACAGGGATCTCAAGCCTGAAAATATATTGATAGCCAAAAATGTGCGGAACGGGAGGTTTATAAAGTTGGGTGACTTTG